TTCTTTACACTGTCTTGGAAAATGGTAACATACCAAATCCAAAATCCTCTTTTTGAAAATGACAAGGACGATTGCACATACTAATTAAAATATTATTAGATTTATGTGGAAACTTTCATAATAAGAAGCTTTCACAATTTCACTCTTAATACTAATTGATAGAATATAAATATTTATTAGGGATCAATCTGAAATTTATATATAATATTCTCATAATATTTTTTTATCAGGAAATAAAATTATTTTATTAATTTATAAAATTCTTATAATGACAATGATTAAACAGATATTTGACATAAATTCTTAATACGAATCAATACGTTTTCCTATTCAGAAATTAAAAAGCTCATATTATAGAAATTTCAATGTATATAGAAAAATTTTGTAAAAAAAAAAAAATTACATAAGTTCACATGACACTTTCCTTCCAATTATAGAAGAGGCGTGAGGAGCAAGTTGCATAAAATTTCATTGACAAATTAATTAAACCCAGGAATAAGATAAGCAGTTGACTTTCTTTTCCTAAAATTTTAACAAAACAAATAGAAGATGACACGAAATTTAGAAGTTAACTTCAAGTTTGGTTTGTAAAGTTAATTGGTTGACTTTATTTAATAGGTTAATGGAAATGGTCAATAACAAAGTCAACTGGGAAACATGTAAGAATTTTTCTAAGTCAAGTCATGTTTTTCCCTCTCTATTTCAATAATTTATGATTTGAATAATAATTATATCCTATAAATGTTTTTAAAATTAATTTCAATAATTTATTTTTTTTTTCCTTTATGGTATAAGTACAATTTGAAAATTGTTTTAATTAATTTGATAATATTCATATGACTTTGTTAAATATGGTTTTGGGAAACATAAAGAATAATAATTATACAAGATGCATGCTTCTCTTCAGACAACTAAAACAATTGAACAAAACAGAAACATGTTTATTGAGTTTAGTGCTAATTATAAACATTAATTAATTATTTTGTCTAATTTATTTATATCTCAATGAGTTTACGAAAATCCAACATTTATCAACCAAATAATTCAGCACAAAAGCCTAAATAATATTTCTATGCATTAGCAGAAACAACAAAATAATAATAAGATTTTATTTACAATTTCTCTTTCTTTTATTATTATTATTATTATTATTATTATTATTATTATTATTATTATTATTATTCAACAAAAGTGTAAATTGTTGATTTAATTTCATATTTTTTTGGTAGAGTGGAAATTGAATTTAATATTTTATCTTTTGACACTACAACAAAGTTCATAAGACTTCTGAGTGAACATTCCATCACCATACTCAAATCAAACTCATTAGTGTACGTAATTGAACCAAATTAAATTGAATTAGTTCGATCTGGTCATTTCAATTCAATTTTTAATTATTTTTGGATGGATTTTTCGACTTTTTTTTTTTTTTTTGGACTTAATCAAATCTTAACTTAACCAAAATAAATTTCAATTTTTTTATAAAAATTAAAACCGAACTAAAAATGTTAAAATTAAACTGGAGTTATCGAATTGAATGAATTTAGTTAATCCGATCTAATTGAAATATCCTAAACCCTAATTAGACTAAAACATTTATAGAAAAACCACAGCAGCACACGTTATAGGCAGTGGGCTTGATGGTGGGAAATTATTTAGCATCCTAACAAATACCTTGTCCATGCCCATAATCCCACATAGCCATTGTTGACTTGAGCATATAATTTTTTTTATATTATTTATTTTAAATATCAACAAATACAAGAGGGGATTTCTTTAATAAGATTGAATTGGAAATAAGATTGGCAGTTAAAAGGTCTAAAAGAAATTATAGGGTACCCTTAAGTTAAGAGTCAATCACTCATAGACCATACCTACTAAGCAAAGCTGGCATTTTCCAACCATACCCTAATGGATAGGATTGAACATTAAATTTTCCTTCCTAAATTGCATTATTAAATTTGCATGCACCATCACGAGCTAGCTATTCTTCAAAATGATTTAAGCCCATGTGAGCATTCCATCATGGCTTTACATTATTTTTCAATTTTGAATTTATAATTTTAGGTCGCGCATTCGATATATCTTTCGTTATAACTAGGTTGAAATATTTTGTTATAACTAGTTTTTCAATCATTTTTGCACGTTATTTGTATTTGTTATTTATACTCGTTACAATTTATTCATTGTATGGTATTAATTTATAGTTTTTATATTATTGAAATATATTAAATTAAATTTTATATGATTAAATATATTTGCCAAAACTATCAATTGTTAATATTTGACAATGCTTTTTTCTTTTTTAAAGGATGCTATTAATATATTATAAACACACACATGTTAATTATAAAAATAACAAGTATTAAATGATATTAATTTAAAAGAAAATTAGAGTTATTCAAATGTACCAATAAAAAAAAGAATTTTTTTAAAATCAAACTGAAAAATATGATTTTATTATATTTATAGAGGCAACCAAACATGGCCTAGGCCAGAAGATTGCTGATCAAGAATATGAAAATAGCAAATGGTACTACGGAAAATCAGATCTGGCATTTAATTGTGTAATAATAATATCTTCATCTTCATCCACATGGGGATTATAACCATATGTTTCAGACAAGTCCTAAAATTATCCAGAGCATTAGCTGTCCTTGCAGAACTCATGTAGGGAAGCCAATCATCTACGCCCTCTTTCACACCATTTTTGGGATTCAAGTTCATTGCAGGTAGCTCACAGTGATTGCTAATAATTTATACTTAAAAATTGATAACGGTTAATTACTTCCTCCGTCGTGTTACTGTGGTAATTTTATATTAAAATATAAATCATTTTCAAAATTATAAAGAATAATAAATGATATTTTTTAATTTCTTCTATTTACAATAACTATCTTTTACAAGTTATTCTTGATTTTGTTAAAATTTAAAGAATTAATTGTTTTCTTAATGCCCATATAAAAAATCTTAAACAACTTATGTTTTAATATAGAACGAGAAATAAATATTATAGTTTGATAAAAAAATTTTGTAATTGTTGATGCCAAAATATAATTTAACTGTTAAAGGTATTATTATTTTTAAAAATTAAAATGTATAATTATTTTTTAGTTTTTAAGATATATATTATTAATTATTTTATATAATGAACACGGTCTAAATATAATAATTGTTAGGAACAAATCAATTATTAGCTATATAAATTAATTGAACCAAATGCCTTTCTAAGAATAAATAGTTTTAGAGTTCGTATCACTCCATTGATCATTGTATAACATATCACCGAATAACTACCTAATAAATTAAAATAATGATATTATAATATAAAAATCGGCTTAATTTCATCCGTTGTACCTGAATAATAGTCTTATTATGTTGACGTTCCTAAAATTCAATTTGTTACGTAAAAATATATAAACTTTAATTAGTGTTGCGTGAAAGTGAATTTATTAAATTTACCGTTAGAGAGTGGATGGAAAGCTGACGTGTACATCATTAAAATTTATTAAATTTTCTGTGTAATTAGATCTTTATTTTATTGCAATATTATTTTTCCTCTCTTTTTCACTCTTTTTTTTTTTTCAAGAAAATAATTTTTTTACCCACCAAGCAAAAAAATTTGAACTCACCCAATGAAAAAATCTCCCGTATTTTTTTTTTTTTTTTTTTTTGTTAGAGAGTGGATGGGAAAGCCTGACGTGGTACATCATCTAAAATTTTAATTAAATTTTCTGTAATTAGATCTTTTAATTTTATTGCAATATTATTTTCCTCTACTTATCACTCTTTTTTTTTTTTTCAAGAAATAATTTTTTTACCCCCCCACCAAGCAAAAATTTGAACTCACCACAATGAAAATCTCCCGTATTTTTTTTTTTTTTTTTGGTTTGCGAGAAAATCAGGGTCCTTTAAAGCTTTTTTTTTTTTTTTTTTTTGGTTTGGAGAAATCAGGGTCTTTAAAGCAAAAGCTCAGTTCTTTCATCGCTCTCATGTTCTTCATCAAAAGCCCAACACCAAATTCTCTCCATCTGAACACCAATACTAAATCCATCACAGTTATTAAAAACCCCAAACAGATTACTCAAATTGCTTTGTGATTCCTCTTGGAATAGCTTATATACATAAGCACACAAAATATTTTATCTTTTCACCCCCAAAATTTAGCCTTAATTCATAAAAGAGCAATTCAGCTCATAGAAGAATGGTGGTGTGTGATTTAAGTTGATTTTGTGTTGTATTTTATGGTTCCATTTGTTTTTCAGATGGAAGTACAAAGATAAAAAGAAAAAGACTATATATATATAGGGCAACGCATACACTGCAACGGTTAGAGAATACGTACATGGATACGAGAGAAAAACTTTATAAAGCTAATTAATCAAAGTTTATATATTTTTTCCTAATAACTTAAATTTTAAGAACATGAATATAATATGGTCTATACTACAGGTATGACGGGTGAAATTATGTTACTCTTCAAATTTAAAACTTATTATTAATAATTAAAATTGAATCAAAATTATGTTAAACGTGATTTCCTTCATGCTGTTACTGCTTAATTACAATCAAATTAAATTCAAAAATATGCTTAGATTAGAGAAAAAGGATGAACATAGGAATTAATGAAAACATTTCCACTTAATATTTTGGGAAGGGGTTTTAATTTATGAGTAAAGAATAAAGGCTCAAAAACAAGAAAATTTTTACAAAAATACCAATTCATTGAATGTTCCTCTAGTTTCCCAAACAAGAGCTTATCCCATCCAAGAGTGTACAAAATCATAATAAGATTATAATATTGTTCGACAACGGTTTTTTAAATAACTTTTAACGTATATTATTTTTTTATAATATTCAATAACATAACATTTAAACTAGTTTTTAGATATTAAGATAACATTCTATAAAAAATTAACTTATATAACATTTAATTTTTAAATTTTATTTAATTTTTAGACATTTTATAAAAAACTACTTAAATAGCTAACAACTAAACGTTATTAAAGTAGTTAATAGCTATTAAAATAATTAATTTTGTCGAACAGACCTTATATCCGGAAAATACACTTTGAAGAAACAAGGACTTACAGCCCGCACAGCCAGACTCCTGGCATTGTCTGAGAAACAAATTTTTATCCAATATTGGCATCAAATATAAGTTACCTATCTACAAATATACTTTGAAGCACAGGGTAGACATCTTTAGCATTATTTCCAACTGAGTTGATCATACACCATTGTCAATGTGATAACGAAAGGCTCATAATCACATTGAATCATCAGAATCGTCAGAATCGCTCCTTTCAGGCTCCTCAGCATTAGCTGCAGTCTCTTGAACATCAGGCTTTGCTGCAGGTACAGGCAAAGGTTTCTTACTTGCATTACGAGCATTCTGATCACCATCTTCCTCTTGCTCATTTGCTTCAACATGTATCCATCTAGTCAAGGATTAACAGATTTACCAAAAGACAAAACAAACAATTTTCAGAACAAAAAGTCTAAAGAAAAAATGCAACTCTAACCACAAGCCTGCCAAATCCCATGTTGCCATTCCTCTTTTTTTTTTATGTTGAAACCAGGTCACCATTCAGGTTTTTGTCATTCAGGAAATGGCAATATTTCAAAAATCAGAATCAGTTTCCAGGGCTTAACATGCCACATACACAAACACATCAGGCTAAGTCCAGATGTTTAAGTAACTAATAATAATGCGTTGCATTGCCTTGCTCTTGTTTGCAAGGGATATATCATAAGAACACTTCATAATGATTATTAACAGATAACACAATAGCATATAGGGTTGAATACTCACAAATTCTCCCTTCATTTCCCCTTTTTCTACTGAATCCTTATAAAAAAGGGGAAAAAAAAATCCTAATCAGTCCTATTTTATGATGCACGAATCGGGTCCCAAAAACCTGATTCATATAGCCCAAGATAATAGAACCTATGATTTACTAGAAACTGAGAAATTGCATAAAAGGATATCAGCGTTTTCAACTGTTCCACGAGTAATGTTCACCAGATCTTTCTCCACACGCTGGACAAGCTCAGGCTGTAAAATGCAACCCCAACAAAATTAGTAAAGATGATGGATAGGGAAGGAAAGGAATTATCTATGCATTGTATCCACAAATAATTTGATCTTAAGCAACTCTAGAATTCCACACAGTACAAATCTAGCTTGCCTAACTCCAAATCTATTATTGGGTGTGTAGAAATAAATGCCTAAAAAAAGCTTCTTGCTCAAACCATTTTTTTTAAAATAGTCCATCATAACCACAAAACAGTTAATAAAATATTCCACATTAACTGAAATAAATATATATGCTATGGCTCCAGTAATTTCTTCAAGAGAAAAATAATAAAACCCAGGTCTCATTAACAGAGTTCTGAAAAGTAATGAGGTCCTTCGTACATTTAGGTCTGGTTCCCTACGAAACCTTCGTTTGCGAGCATCCCTCATAGGAGGTGTGAGCCCATGCCTGTACTCAACTACATCTGGAGCAGTGTCACCTGTTTCTCTAACCATAATCATCTGTCAAGAGTAATATAATTGCGATGAGAAATAAAAATTCATGTCTATAAAAATTATGAATTTAAGATCTCCTAATATGCACTCTACCTGACCAATGTCCGTAGTTTTGACCAGTGCACAATCATCATAAGTTTTATAGGACTCCACAACACAAGGTAGGTCCATCAAAGATGCAGGGAAATGATCATCACCAATGACAAACGTGCCATTCCTGCCATCCTCTGTGCAATAAGATATTCCAATTCAAAACCATGAGGGCATGAAGCAAGTCAATGATTTTTTTTTTTTTCCACAACACAAGGTAGGTCCATCAAAGATGCAGGGAAATGATCATCACCAATGACAAACGTGCCATTCCTGCCATCCTCTGTGCAATAAGATATTCCAATTCAAAACCATGAGGGCATGAAGCAAGTCAATGATTTTTTTTTTTTTCAAAGAAAAGGCAAAAGAATAAGAATGATTAGCTGGAAAAAAAAAGGATACTTCATATTTTCTTTCACAATTTAGTTGTCCGACAAAAATAAAAAATGATATAGAGCAGCAAAGAAAGAAAAAGAGTAAAACAAGAGAGCAAGAGAAAGTGTGAGTTTCAAAGTAGCAGATTCCTGTGGCTATATCATACTTCCCCCTTACTGGTAGCATTCAAACTTACCTACTCAAATGATGTTTATATTCCCATGCAACAATTTGCAAAGGCAGCTCAATCGTATGACATGAAAGTGTCTAACCCAACGCAACTAAAAATAAGATGACTGATGACTTGATAAAAAAATCCACCAGTAAAGGAATCTTTAAACAAAATACAAAGTTAGAACATAGCTTTATTAACAAAGCGCTGATACATAATCATAAAACTAAAATGAAATATAAACGGAAAAAAAAAAAACAAGGAAAGCCCATAGAATAGATGACAAATGAATATTCCATATCTAAAACTAGAATCCAGGTCTGTTTTATTTTCTATTGTTGCTGAGTGCTGGTTTGGAACTAAGGCTTAGTTGTGGTTGCAGTTGTTGTTGTTGCTGGGTGCAAACCGTATAGTGAGGATTGATACAATATTTTATTTATAAAATATTTCTTTCATAAATATATTGAGAATCCAAAAAGAAAGAATAAGAGAATCAATAAAGCCAATTCTCCTTGACTGGACCAACTTCCAAAACAGTGCCCATATAAGTTTTCTGGGTATCACGGGACCTTAATACAAGTAACTACATATGATCAGCTATATAACACTCATTCATTTAATTAAGGAACAATTCTTCCAATATGATTGAGGTTGCTTCTTGACACAGAATAAAATAGGAACTTGAGCATTTGATCACAGAGATTGTCAGAGACAAGGATTAGATGTCTTCCTTTTTTTTTTCTTTTGAAATCTGTTAATACATTATGATTGCTCCTTTTAGCCTTCAGCTTTCTATCCCAGGATCCCTAGTTTCCCGTACAGCCACTTCCAGAGTTAATTTCACTCGTCGTTCCTTATTACCAATGCACTTTATCGTACCTAAATTTTAATTTGTAACATAAAAATTACGCAAATTCAATTTCTATAACATAAAAAGCCCTTTAACTGTATTAACAACAATCCAGTGGCCAAATTGCCACATGGATAACATGCTGGAATTAAAGTTGTTTCTTGTTGTGAAATTTATTCGTCATGCCAACAGGTATTCTATCTTTGCACTTCTCCAAACCCTCCATACGAACTCTGCACCAGTTATTATCAACAAAAACTTTCTTTGCACTTTCCCAACCCTCTACACCAACAAGTGCTCTAAGCAAAATAGAGTGAACATCTCTTGCTCGTTCTCACAGTCATTTCCATTGTCATTTTTACTCTTCTTACGCTTCACTGTCTTAACGCAGTTGATTTTCCACTTCTTTCACGGCTGCTTTTGCTTTTATTGTCTTCCTCCTCTTCCTCCAACAAAGATGCCATGCCATCTTCAAGGTGATTGAATTGTTGTTATCTTTTTAGTTTTTATAATTTTTGTTTAAATCTGGACTTTTTCCTTCACTTTTTCAATTTATTTCTTTACAGAAGTTTCTTCTTCCAAGGTGTGTTATGTTTTAGATATAAATGAGAAAATGGTAACAGCTTTCCATCATAAACTCTCTTTTTTTTTTTTGTGGCTTGAAAATTTTGTTTAATCTTGACTCTTCTGCTGATTAATTACTTTACTTCTAATTATATATACTAATATATATATATATATATATTATATAATTATATATATATTTTGCCTTGAAAATTTTTTTGCTTAAGTTTTTTAACTATATATTTTGCCTTGAAAATTTTGCTTAGTTTTAACTTTTTTGTTTAAATTACTTTCTTAATGAAATTATATTCTTATTTTAGGACCTGAGTTTTCTTGTTCAATCTGAAATTTTGGTGTCAATTTTGAAGTTTAGCGTTTATCTCAATTTATTGGACTAAATTTTAATTACTATCAAAACTTTAAAGTTTTTGATCTGTTTTTGTTGAAATCTTTGTAATTAAAGTAAATATTATCTTTCCTAGTTTAGGTTTATTCCCATTTAGATTACTTCCTATATTGGAAAATCTTTTGTATATATATAGTGGAGTAGAGATTAAAAAATATAACACAATAAAAAGAAATATGACATATTCTTTTAATTTCTTCATGGTATCAGAGCCATTGCCGTGAATTTTTCGGCAATGGTTAGGTTTGAGAGTGGGCTAACATACACCCAGTACCGCCAGGAGGTCATCACCGCCCGGCTCAGAAGGAAGCGTGACCGCCGATCGGCCCTTCGTCCAAACCACGTCACCGTCCAACCACACCCGTGTGCACACGCGCCTAAAAAAGATTCTGGCAGTTCTTCACGCGCTGGACGTGTGCGGCTGTTTCCGGCGAGCTCCGTCAACGTTTCTTGTTCCGGCGGCCTCGACTTGTTGTGGCGATTTTACCTTACTAGTTCTTCAGCACCAGTTTTGCTTTTTTGGAATTTTTTTCCCTTTTTGGTTATATAGAACAAACTACCTGACTTGGTCTCAGTCTTGTTTATTATTCATTGAAGCAAGAGGTTTGCAGGGATACCTTGATGGTAGAGCGACTAAACCAATTTCGACAGATTCGGGCTTTAACAAATGGAAATCTGAGAATTCTCTTATTATGTCTTGGTTAATAAATTCCATGCAGCCAACTATTTCCCAAGGCTATTTGCTTCTTGATACAGCTAAGAAGATATGGGATGCTGCTTCACAAATAAGAAGATATGGGATGCTGCTTCACAAATGTATTCGCAAACCGAAAACTATGCTCAGAAGTATGAATTGCGATAGAAAGTTCATGAAACTAAGCAAGGAGATCTGACTATCGCTCAGTTTTTTGCTGAACTTAGTGGGTTATGGCAGGAACTGAATTATTACCAAGACTTTCAAGCAAAATGTATTGATGATGCAACTCAAGTTCAGAAGTTAATTGAAGTAGAACGAGTGTATGATTTTCTGGCTGGCCTAAATAATTAGTATGATCAGATTCGAGTCCAAGTTCTTGGACGAGATCCTTTTCCATCCTTGCGACAAGCATATTCATTTGTACAGCAAGAGGAGACTCGGAGGAATAGCATATTCATTTGTACAGCAAGAGGAGACTCGGAGGAATGCTATGGTTCACAGATCTACAATTGATAAAGCAGGGTTAATTGCTAATTCTACAAGAGAACATATATAGGCTGCAAAGAACGATTCTTCAGACAGAGATTAATTATTTTGTGGCTATTGCGGTAAGAATAAGCACACTAAGGAATTCTGCTGGAAATTACATGGACGCCCAACTAAAGGACGTTTATTTCCTACTTTGTTTACTAAGTGTGATTTTAATTCATTAGTATGTGATGCTTGTGAACTTGCCAAACACACCAGGCATTCTTATTCTCCAATTAATAATAAGTTTGACTCCTTTTGCTACTATTCATTCTGATGCATGTGGTCCTACTAAAACTGTCTCTCTTTCTGGTTATAGGTGGTTTGTGACCTTTATTGATTGTTGCACTAGATTGATTTGGATTTATTTGACGAAAGCAAAAAATGACGTTTTTTCGCGTTTTCAGAATTTCCATAAAATAATTTGTACTCATTTTGATGCGCATGTTAAAATCCTAAGAACTGATAATGGTATTGAATACATGAATGCAAATTTTCATACCTATTTAAATTCTAATGGTAGCTAGGTCTCTTATGTTCACTATGAATCTTCCCAAACCATATTGGGGGATGTTATTTTGACTGCTGCTTACTTTATCAATCGTATGCCTCTTCGTATTTTAAATTTTAAAACTCCATTAAAGGTTTTTCAAGGAAAAAACTCTTATATTGTACCTCCTAAAGTTTCTAGTTGTGTTTGTTTTGGTCATCAGAATGGTCTAAGCAAATTAGATCCTAGAGCCTTGAAGTGTGTGTTTGTTGGTTACTCTACTATTCAAAAAGGATACAAGTGTTATCATCCTTCTAGGAAATACTTTGTGAGCATGGATGTTACCTTTCGGGAATTTGAGTCTTATTTTTCTTCCCAATCACCTCTTCAAGGAGAGAAATATCGGATGGAATAGGTGATGCACGGCATTCCTTTCCAGGGGGAGATTCCTGTAGACATAGATAGTAAGAGAGAACAACCACCCAAACCTCTAGGAAGATTGGATAGACCTGATTTGAAAACCTCAAACCTCTAGGAAGATTGGATAGACCTGATTTGAAAACCTACACACGACGGACTATAACAGATACAACCATGGAGCATGAGACCTCTGATCAACCGTCCTCGCCAATTTCAGGCCCTGAAAATACAGCCGAACAAGAACTTGGTGAGTCTTCTTTAATCCCTGTTGATTCTGATCCTAATCTTGATTCCAACCCTTCTGACAACGACCTTAATATTCCCATTGCTCTTAGAAAAGGAGTTAGAACATGCACTAAAATCCCATCTCCCATTTTATCTCCTATAATGTTCTGTCCCCTTCCTATAGAGCCTTTATTTTGTCTGTTTCTTCTTTCTTTCTGTTTCTTATACCGCCAGGAATTGGCAAGAGGCATTACAAGGACTCAAAATGGTAAGGCTTACAATGGATTGAGGAGATTTGAGAGCTTTGGCGCAAAATACGGAGACATGGGGATCTTTGGGATCTTGTAACTCCTCCATCAGGAAAGAAGCCAGTTGGATGTAAATGGGTGTTCACAATTAAACATAAGGCAGATGGTTCAATTGAGAGGTAAAGGCTAGATTGGTAGCAGAGGGTTCAATCAGACATATGGAGTTGATTGCCAGGAAACTTTTGACCCTATAACCAAGATGAATACAATCAGAATTTTGTTATCTTATGCAGCCAATCTTTACTAGAAATTACATCAATTTGATGTTAAAAACGCTTTTCTACATAGTGATTTGAAAGAAGAGGTGTATATGGAGATTCCTCCTGGATTTGATGATGACAAGACCAGAGGAAAAGTTTGCAAACTGAAGAAGTCATTATATGGGCTGAAGCAATGACCAAGAGCATGGTTTGAATGATTTAGTAAAGCTATGCTTTCTTTTGGGAACATTCGATGCTGATCATACTTTGTTCATTAAATATCATAAAGGTAAGATCACATTGCTTATTGTTTATGTTGATGATATAGTGATGACTGAAAATAATGAAGAAATGACTCACTTGAGAAATTTGTTAGCTAGGGAGTTTGAGATTAAAGATTTGGAAAAGTTGAGATATATCCTTGGGATAGAAGTTGCTAGATCAGAAAAAGGAAGTTTTATTTCTCAAAGAAAATACATCCTTGATCTCCTTAAAGAAACTGGTATGTTGGGATGTACATCCTTGATCTCCTTAAAGAAACTGGTATGTTGGGATGTAAACCTGCAGAATCACCTATTGAAGCCAATCATAAGCTTCAAGCTGAAGTGGGAAGTTAAGTTGATGTTGGCAGGTATTAGAGATTGGTCGGGAGGTTGATTTACCTTGCCCATACTAGACCAAGTATAAAATATGCTGTAAGTTTAGCAAGTCAATACATGCATGACCTTCGGGAGTCTCACTTAAAAGCTGTGCATCGGATTCTTAGATGTTTAAAATTAGCTCCAAGTAGAGGACTTTTATTTTCTAAACATGGCCATTTGACTATAACAGGCTATACAGATGCAGATAGGGCTGGTTCCCTTGATGACAGGAGATCAACCTCAGGTTATTATGTTTTTGTTGGAGGAAGTCTTGTCACATGAAGAAGCAAGAAGCAGGATGTTGTTCCAAGGTCCAGTGCAAAAGTAGAACATAGAGCTATGGCACAGGGAATATGTGAACTCCTATAGTTGCGCAGATTAATGGAAGAGTTAAAGTTGGTTGAAACAATAAATATATCCTTGTTTTGTGATAGTAAAAAATATTATCCTTGTTTCATGGTTGATCAGTTAAAACACCAATCAATATTATAAATAATCCAGCCAGGGCATGATCGAACTAAGTATATAGAGAGTGATCGCAACTTTGTAAAAGAGAAGATAGTGAAGGTTTTATAATGTCATCTATATAGTTTCAAAAAGGCAAACTAGGACCGACTGTTTTCACAAGGGGGTTTGAATTGCAAAATTGTTTCACTCCTCTTTAGTTTGCACTGTTAATAGTATGCACCCAACTGAGGGATAAGTGTTGATAATCTTTTGCGATTAAAAGTAAATATATTTGTCTTCCTAGTTTAGTTTATTTCCCTGTTTATGATTTACTCTCTTATATTGAACAAATTATTTGTATTATGTATTATGGAGTAAAATGAAAAATAATAAACACCTAATAATAAGAAATACGACATATTCTAATATTCATTGATCTTTCATCGTACTGTATATTTCTTTAACTCTTGAATATTAAATTTTCATTATCCATCAATTGCCAACAAAAAAAAAACACCTCATCTCGATATCCATCAATTTTTATTGATGAAAAGAGAAAGCACCTTTTGTTATCAGCACTAATCAAAACACTTTATCGCAGACACACCACATATAAAAGATCTAAAAAAATATCAGCTTCAACATAAAAAATTATCATTGACATTCCCTAACATGCTAAATTATTCCTCACTTCAATTCACCATCTTGCAGTCTGAATGTGAATGATCCATTCATGAACTCGTAAACTAAACACACCACTTCCTGACTAGCACATGTGCAAACCTCAAAAATCATATGTGATGAATATTTGTCAAATCCCATCAAACACGGCATTTCGTTACAATCTTTTTTTTTTCTAATTCCTTCCATTTTGCAACAAAAAAAAATTAAATCTGAAGCACCATTTTTACTTATTCTCGACCATGAAATAAAATTCATTATACAGTAAAGAAAAAAATCCTGTTGCTTATGAATCAATCTTACACATTGAAAACAACTGTAGAAAAAAATTATCAAATTAAGAATTTATCATTAAGCCTCACAAGCAATAGCAACCAATCAAAACAAAATAAAACCCATAAGGTAACCATGCGACAATTACAAAAGAAGCACAAACAATTATGCAAGAAACAGAGGCCTCAACCAGAAAATGATAATCCAATGATCGCTCTCAGAACGAAGAATTAGCACTTTCACTCAAAAGACGATCTAACCTTTTCCGCACAGAAGTGGAAACTCTTAAATGAACATGTTCCTACCATCTACAAAATTCAAAACATCAATTTATATCAACTCATTTTTATTCGTATATTAAATTCAACCAAAAAATAGAAAAATCCTTTCTCACAGCATTCATATTCCTTGCTACTTCCGTTACCCATCCCAAATCCAATTAGCATTACCCTTTAGCACATAAATTTCAAAACAATAAAAAGAGGAACAAAAAATTCAACACTCTTTATTTCATATAACACACAAGCAAACAAATATCTCATCAAAACATAACCAAACTACATACAACATAATATATACAAAAAGCTATACTAAAATATAGCTCAGTTATTGGACACAATTTGTTGATAAAACCGAATACCAACATGTCACCGTCTATAGAGTATTTAATAGCTATATAAGTTTACAGAAAATACTAAGATTGCGTAAACGAGAAAGAGTGAGTAACGAAGAGAGAAACCTGATGAAAAGTGTAGCTAGGGACTTTTGGCACAACATTGGGGAGTCTCTCTTACACAAACGCTGTTCGTCTTCAAACTTAAATATTTATTCCTTATCTTACATGATACTCCTATTTAAATTGCCTACTTCCAAAATATTTATACTACTTTTTAGGTTAGACAAAAATTTCATTTTTAATTAAAACATTTCCTTCAAATCATTTATGACATTCACAGCCCTCCTCAACTCCATCTTCTATTTGTGACACCAAAGGAATACATTCCTGCCCGCCACTTCATTAAGAAGAAAAAATGAGAATTTATGAAATTTATCAGCAACAGAAGCTTGAAAAAAAAATTTCAGAATACTTTAAAACTATACATATTCAATTGTTCATTATAAAAATATGACATTGAATAAAAAACTTCTTCCTGGTTTATTCGCTCATTTGAAAACCATTTGTTCCTTTAATCCACAATTTTCAGTCTCTTCCAAACTTTGCCAGCCCCTTATACATTAAATTCTGAGAAGAATTCTTTGTTTGGTCTCGCCAAAATACGTAAGAAGAAGGACCATGACTTGATAATTCACATGCTGATCCTCACCTTTCATATCCCAATCTAGGAATTTGTTTACTTGATTTGAGAATGCGATTTGCAGGAGATTTTCCGGTCAGTTGTTATTAGAGGATGTTTTGCAAGGAGAGGGATAAGTGATTGAAGATTAGGGAATTTCAATATCGTTAGGCCCTTTTTTTATTTTCAAAATATTTAATAATAAAAAATAGTTACCGTCATGAGATTACACAGTCAAAAGTTAAAAGCGCAGGGAAAACATTATTTTGATTTACTAAAAATCGCAAGTCATGAGTTTTAGCCCAAACAAGGTGCTTTGTTGTGCATTTCAACATATTCATGCAAGTTTGAGGCAAATTTTAGCTTTTTCCTCTTCTAGCAATAATATTGCGTCAAATCAGTGTTACTCATTCTTAAACTAAGATGGCCTTAGTCATACTAATATATTTACCTAAATATGTTTTAATCCTTACGGTTTAAGAGAAAAATTAAAGCTCTTAAACCCTTTTATATAAACAGTAGTACATCTACTGCTATCTCAAACACTAAACTCAATTGTAATTACCGTACATTCTCTACACCCCTTAATTAGGAAACAACTAAAAAAAATTTCATTCGGGGGTTGGGTAACGCACAAAATAAATAAAAAATAACTATATTTAAGAGGTTAAAATCATTTTAACTATATTTCTATATATCTCTATTATAGTTGTGAGTATCCTCCATTTATTAATAACTATATAAACACCTCCAACGATCAAAGATGATTCTGCCCATTAGTAAACTTAGCAGAAGTGGTATGAACACGGTGGCCGTACGAATTACTGGAGAGGTTGAAAAGTGTAACCGCGGCTCCTTTGCCTATTTTCGCAGGGAAGCGAGTCGTAGCGTCTGAAGGCGACTATTGATCGAAAGAGAAATCGGAGCTCACCCCTGCGCCCGCTCGCTGGAAAGAGAAGGAGAGGAGAAAACGAAACAGCGAAGCGTACGGAGCAAGGAGCTCAGGTCAGGCGCAACTCGAACTCAGGGGTTGGAATCGTAGTGAGCTGAATCGGCGATTGCACACACCTCTCTGTTTCTCAATCACTTGCCGCTGAAATCGATTGATAATAGACGAGAGAGAAAGCTGGGGAGAGCAGCACCCCGGCAAACAGGAAGAATTCGCAAGATAGTCGCTAGGGTAGATCTAGCCGTATCGAAACAACTTGAAAAGTGAAGGGCAAAGGAGATTGAGGTCCGATTCTAATGGAGAGATGGGTTCTAGAGTGTTAATTGATGGTCTTTTAGTGGCGATGATTTCGTTCGTAATGTCACTCGGTTCATCCCAAATCGTGAATTTTTGTTGTGATTTTCGACTTATTTTATGGTTTCTCCAATGTAAGCATACAGTAAGCGGCCCAGTTTAAAGAGTCAATCAATAATTGGAAGTAAAATGAGTAGTTTATACAAAACACAATTTAAATAGACAAACAAATTATTGAATAACTTTGGTAGCCCTGCAGGGAAGTTTGCAGAGCTAGTTCGAAACAAACAACCTCTCTACATACATGCGGAGTTTGGATAGGTGGGGCTGTGAGTTTTTGCAAACTCAGTGAATAATAATAAAATAATTACACACCGTAGATCATTCACGCCAAAAAATGCATCCTTCAATATACTGACATGAACGCACAACCAAATCCATTGCTCTTATGGCACCAGTATCAAAACTACAATAAAATATTACAAAAATCATAATCTTCAATAAATCAAGCAAGTGGACAAATAGTCAATGCGCACCTGAAAAAACCCCTAACAAGCCGTCCTCTCACATATGGCCCATCCTCTCATATGTGAGAGCACCAGGAGACCCGATCCCACTACCCTGCCGACTGGGTCTATATCCTCACTCTTGACCACGGTCCTCTCACTGATTTTCCAATCTCTCTTTCTTTTCCAATTACTTCCATCATATGCATATCTTCAGGTGCATCACAAGGAGCCACCGATCTTCCATTACCCAGTCTTGAACGGTCCACTCAACATTCTCCTATATTAACATTCATTTTCATATTCAATCAATCCAGAGTCCAATATTTCATAGATCAATATCTTCATTACAACCCATTGTGACCCCACTTATCCAAATTTCACACAAACAAAGAACACTATTCACTAGCGCACAAAGTAATCAAACAATTCTCAACAATTATCACAAACTCCCATCCAAATGTAAAACTCATTCAAAATATTAATTCTTATAAAGTAATAGTTACATAAATATATTATAAGATACGCATTAATTAATTATAGCTGGATAGATATATAAATATAAAATTAAATATTAGAGTTAATCGTACATATATATTTAATGTTCTATAAAATAAATGTGTCAAACTGCAGTGTTAATAGAGTACTATTATTTATTTATTACTCACTGGCGGGGGACGAAGCTTCTTAACTTGATCTGACCCGGCCATGTATAGAGCACATAATGAGCCCCGAGCGACCTAAAAATCTAAGAATGACCACGAAAAATACTATATCATAAGACAAGATAATTATTAAATGCATCTAATAAACTTATAATCTATATATTTAAATTTTCTATAAAATAAATTTAATTAATCTACTGAATATTCGAGCACAATTAAACATCTCCTAAATATTAGAAGAAAAACATACAAGATTCATAACTTATTCAAATATTTTCTTCCAAGATCAATACACACACCCAATCACATCTGGCAATCAAAACATAAGTCATTAATTCCCCATCCAATACATAAATTCTTACCACATCAACAAATATAAACCTTGTAAATTAATACTTTATATCACATTAATATTTAATTAATTATCAATATATCACATAATATTAATTATTAAATTAAAACTAGAAGAATATATAATAATTATAAATTTATCAAGTATTTAAATTAATCAAAATAAGAATCATACATAAATATAATATATATATATAAACTAACCAAAAATTAACATTTAAGTAAATTAATCCAAACCAGATTACTAAAATTAAATTAATTAACCACAATTAATAAAAATATCTCGCTGGAGGAATCCTATTTACCCAAACATGAAAAAATCTTTATTCCGCGCATTTGCCTATGGCGACCGATGTACCGAAACCAAATCGCCACTGTACAACTTCAAACCCAAATCTCATGGAGTGATCTAGCCTATTAGAGAAAGCATTCACCTCAGTCTCTCAACCAAATAGACTCGACAGACACACCTCTACCGCCGATCCTCAAACCTCTTAGTTCATCTTTTTTAGGAGTCCGCGTGCGTCGAGAAGGTAGTCTGCGTCCATGCGTTTCGTCTGCGATACTGCAGAGAGAGCGACAGAGCGTGACGCGATTAGAGTAAGAATCTTCGTCGTGTTGCTCAACTCTTGCTCCGATCGAATGGCAGAAGATGACCAGCCGCTCGTTAGCGGCCTGATTTGCGTCTCCTCTAATAAGCGAGATCTATATGTGTGAGCGGTTGGCTTGCTCGACTTGCCAGTCTCCCTCTCTTAGATCTTAGCCTGTCTTCTGGCTTGTATAAGAACGATGATGATGGAACCCGCGATCATGTGCCGATCCTAACGACGTCGAGTGCAGCGAGGATAACCAAGCGGGCCTAGCGCGTCGATGATCCCCCTCGAGCTTTTGTGATTCGCGCCTCAGCTGCTCCAAGACTCTCCGAACGCGACCAGATCGTGGTGTTGCTTGCTGGTTCGCCAGAACGCGACGATAAACTTAGAGAGAAAATAAGAGACCAAACAAGGCATGCTCGACGTGAGTGGAGGGCTAGTCGAACCTCCGATGTGAGCACGCTGTTTGCCCGTTGACGACGCAGGTTTCGGTAAGGGGGAGGGTGATTGTGCCGCTAGAAAATTGGAGGGTGAAGAGGTACGGAAGC